CATAGGCCGTATGGGGAGTTTTCCACACATTCAGAAGGTTACCATGGGTGTGCCTGGCTGCCTTTTTGGCTCGTGAGGACGGCCGGGACTTGGCGGAGTGCCGGCACCGCGCGCGGCCCGGCTTTCAGCCGCGCTACGCCTTCCCCGCCAGCCTCAAGGCGTGAGTTGGGGTACGTTGTGGTCAAGCGAATTTGAAGGGGGAGATTCTCATTGGTAAATCTCATAAATTCATCTTGCTGGTTCTCAGCGGGGAATGAGGGAGCGACTTCAAAAAACCAAGGTGGCCAGCCACTTAACGTGTCCCAACATCAGTTGACCCCACGTTGCTCAACCCCTGTTTTTTTAGGGGGGGTGTCCCCGGGTTTAGCGGGGAATAATTTTTTGAAGGAGGTCAGCAATACGGGCGTTTCTCCAAATGGTGGACCACCCTTTTGTTGTGTTTGAAGGGAAAGCAATAGGAAACCAACCATTTCAGGACCCCTATTTTGAGAATCACCCAAATCAATTCATGAATTGAGGTTTTGGCACTTGGGATTCTTGCCGCGTGTGTTGCTTGGGGCCAGTCCAGCGATCTCGCGGACTGGGACACCTGGTCTCTCTGCTTTTCCTTTATTGCCCACGGTTGGTGGATATGACAAGCTCTTTGATTTCGTGATACTCAGGAGCTTGAAACTGAGCCAAAACTGCATTTTGAAGCTTACCTTGAGCCAGCCTCTTTCAGCTTTCCTCGCTTTTGATGTCAGCCACGGACGGAGGCTACGGAACGCTACGCGGCCCTGGCTGAGGAGTGCAAGAGAAGACGACGCAAAATTGCAAAGGATAGGAGAAACAAGAGACAATTGTGGCGCATCTCTGTTTCAAGGCGCTCTCTGAAGGCGCTGTATTCAGGAGAAACATATCTCAAGGTGCTCTCTGAAGATTGCAGACAGACTTTGTTAGGAAGTCTGAATTCCTCAGACATGCAACATATGATATACCCGAACACAACTCGCCTTGGACCTTTGAGTGCAACCGACATACTTTGGAGAGGAATCGCCCAGCCTGAGAGATCAGCCAGTTGCGTTAAAGGCTGGACGGGGTTGGCCTTAATGCGAGAGCTGCTGGGGCAATTTGCCTTGCGTGGAACCTTTGGCAGCCGACAGAGAGAGACAGAGAGCGGCAGAGAGTCAGAGAGAGAGGCAGAGAGAGAGAGAGGCTGAGAGAGAGAGAGAGAGCGAGAGAGAAAGACAGAGAGAGAGAGAGAGAGACAGAGGGACAGAAATAGAGAACAAAATAGAGATGGAGATAAAAGTTTTCTAGCTGCCAGCAATGCAGCAACAGCTTCAGTAACACTATGCGTCCGACACCACTGCGTAACACAACACTCACCTCCTCACACAGACACCCATACACACACACACCCACACCCACACCGCACACCCACACTCACACACCCACACCCACACCCACACCGCACACCCACACTCACACACCCACACCCACACCCACACCGCACACCCACACTCACACACCCACACCCACACCCACGCCCACACCCACACACCCACACCCACACACCTACGCCCACCCGCACCCGCAAAGCAGAACCGAGAAGGTTCCGACGAGACGCCTTTGCCAATGAATGCGTTTAGGAGTGTGGCTTGTCGCCGACGGAGTTGGCATTGGCCTGGGCGACGCGCTGAGATGGACGGACGTGGTTCCAGGTCCCAGGGACGGTTTCGGTGGCTCAAAGATGGAAGCATAGGCCATATTGGGTTGGAAATAAAGTGGGTGTGGCTCAAAATTAAACAGGAGGGGTTATGCAGGTTTTGGGCCATGTTTCCACTTACCAGGATTCCATTTTGGTAGCGGTTTTTTGAGCCACAGCCAAGTGACCCTGACAGGCTACTTTTCTCTGTTTTGGTGTCATTGCGTTGTATTCCAAGTGCCCTTGGCGCTGGATCCCTCATTTTGCCACATGTACCTGTTATGGGCTTACTTCTTTTTGTGGAAACATGGAACATGGTTTAGGTCACCTGTCCGCTCAATCCCTTTTGACTTGGAGCTTTTGAAGCCCAGATGGCTAAGGCCAACCAGCAGCCGCATGTTGGCGCCGTGATCATCGGGTCAACCAACGTGCGGCAGGTGCCATGGGACGCTTTCTAAATCCAAGCTCGTGTTGCTGGCCGGATGATTTTTTTGTAGCTTTCAATCGTTTGCTCTTGTTTGGCGATCGAGCTGCGCGGACCGACACGTGCTCGTTTTGTAGTTATCCTTCCTCGGCTTCTAAGATCACTCTGTTTCTGTCAGCAGGGGCATTGGGCTTGCAGGTGGAGGAATGCGTGGGTGCAATCCAGATCAAGGCGCGTCTTTTACCTGGGTGTCGCCTGGTGGTTTCTGAAGTCTGATCATATTGGAGCTTGGCTTGGAGAGCATAGGTGCCTGGCTCACTTTGAAAGATCACATTCCCCCCAAAATGGCCCATCCAAGCTACAGGCTACTTCTGCATGGAGTGATTCCGTGGCCCCGGCTTGCCTCGAATTAGACAAGTGCTTTTGTTGGTATCGGAAACAAGTGTTTCGCGAAGCGCTTTGTTCAAAGCAAAGGACTTTGTATCCCCGAGGCATTGCCCACTGAACTCCTGGATGCTATCAACGCAGTGCACGAGGAGACTGCCGGATGTCGACTGCCTTTGCGCCTTTGGGGTTGGTTTGCAAGGGGAAGATGCAAACTGGTCTGTTTGTCTGTTCCGCGTCCCCAAACTTGTGGTTGAATCTTATTTTGGAGCACTTCGGTTTGATGCCTTGCTGTTCGCTAAGAGCTAGGCACGTTTTGGCCACATTCGCGGCTCTGCATTGTTTGACCGGAAGCAATGTAGATTCTGAAAATCGTCATCAACCAGCTTCTCCGTGTCCAGTTTCCTTCCTTGACAACAGGTTTGGAAGAGGGTGGATTTCTGCTGTTGAAGCAGCCGCCTGGAGAGAGCCAGGAATTCCGAAGTCCGAACATGCATTATGCCAACAAGGCCTGCTTTTGCCTCGAGCTTGCGCAGACTGCAAAGTTTTCTTACTGTCTTGTGAGATAGGTTTCATGCGTGTTTTGTCGCCTGCCTGATTTCAAAGCGTCTCTGCAAGTGGAGAGCCTTCGTATGCCTATTGATATGCCCCGGGGTGTGGTGGCATGGCATGCGCACACGCAGGATATCGTCTCCAAAGCGCAGTGGCTGAAGGATTGAGAGCCCTCGCGGAGAAAAACAAAACGAAGCACAAGATGCCTGGCGCTTTACGCTCTCGGACGGTTTTTGGGTGTTTTTCCCGAATGCGTGCGAAGGGTTCCCGTTTATAAGTGGGGATCTGGGGGTGGAGGCCGTGTTCGCGAGGAGTTGCTCCAGAGTTCGCAACCGTGCGCAACCGTCCGCAGCTGTTCGCAACCGTCCGCAGTGAGGCGATAAGCGTGTGCCATTGGGATTCGTCATGGAAGCGTGTTTTTGATGGATCGGCAAGTGCTGTTTTCGTTGGCCCTGTGCGCGCATCGTAGCTTCTCGAAGCTCGACGTGTCGTTTGGCTGCGCAGGCGCAGTGTTTTGGAAGGCTGCGTGTTCTCGTTGCCGTGCCAGTGGGATTTGTGATCCAGGGGTGGCCGCTTTGACGTGTCCTGCTTGGCAGGCGCGTGATAGTGTTTGCGCCGGCGCCGTTTTCGTTGGCCCTGTCGTGCAATGGGCACATTTTGAGCGCGCAAAGTGAACCCTCTGCGCACTTTGGGTGGGTCAAATCGCTCTCGCTGTGGCGCGGTGCGCATTTTGAGCATGCGAAGCGAACCCTCTGCGCACTTTGGGCGGGTCAAATCGCTCTCGCTGTGGCGCGGTGCGCATTTTGAGCATGCGAAGTGAACCCTCTGCGCGCATTGGGTGGGTCGAATCGGTCTCGCTGCAGCGCGGTGCACATTTTGAGCGCGCAAAGTGAACCCTCTGCGCGCTTTGAGTGGGTCGAATCGCTCTCGCTGTGGCGCGTTTGGAGACAGAAGTGTCGTCCAGAAGTGTCGATCAAAAGTGTCGCTCATCGGAAGTGTCGACAGAAGTGTTGCTCGGAAGTGTCGATCAGAAGTGCTGCTCAGAAGTGTCGATCAGAAGTGTCGAACAGAAGTGTTGCTCAGAAGTGTTGCTCAGACGCGTCCCTTAGAAATGTTGTCAGAAGTGTGGATCAGAAGTGTTGCTCAGAACTGTCGATGAGAAGTGTGGATCAGAAGTGTTGCTCATCAGTCTCAATCAGAAGTGTGGTTCAGCAGTGTTGCTCAAACTGTCGATCAGAAGTGTCAATCAGAAGTGCGGATCAAAAGTGTTGCTCAAAAGTGTCGATCAGAAGTGTTGCTCAGAAAAGTCGATCAGAAAAAGTGTCGCTCAGAAGTGTTGGTCAAAAGTGTCGATCAGAAAAAGTGTGGTTCAGAAGTGTTGATCAGGTGTCGCTCAGAAAGTTCGCTCAGAAGTGTCAATTTTGATGAGAAGGGTTCCTCAAAAGTGTTGCTCAGAAGTGTCGATCAGAAAAAGTGTGGTTCAGAAGTGTTGGTCAGGTGTCGCTCAAAAGTGTCAATCAGAAGTGTGGTTGAGCAGTGTTGCTCAAACTGTCGATCAGAAGTGTCAATCAGAAGTGCAGATCAAAAGTGCTGCTCAAAAGTGTCGATTAGAAGTGTTGCTCAGAAAAGTCGATCAGAAAAAGTGTCGCTCAGAAGTGTTGCTCAGAAGTGTCGATCAGAAAAAGTGTGGTTCAGAAGTGTTGATCAGGTGTCGCTCAGAAGTGCCGCTCAGAAGTGTCATTTTTCATGAGAAGGGTTCCTCAAAGTGTCGGTCAGAAGTGTCGATCAGAAAAAGTGTGGTTCAGAAGTGTTGGTCAGGTGTCGCTCAAAAGTGTCAATCAGAAGTGTGGTTCAGCAGTGTTGCTCAAACTGTCGATCAGAAGTGTCAATCAGAAGTGCGGATCAAAGGTGTTGCTCAAAAGTGTCGATTAGAAGTGTTGCTCAGAAAAGTCGATCAGAAAAAGTGTCGCTCAGAAGTGTTGCTCAGAAGTGTCGATCAGAAAAAGTGTGGTTCAGAAGTGTTGATCAGGTGTCGCTCAGAAGTGCCGCTCAGAAGTGTCATTTTTCATGAGAAGGGTTCCTCAAAAGTGTCGGTTAGAAGTGTCGATGAGAAGTGTTGCTCAGAGTTGTCGCTCAAAAGTGGCAATTCAGCAGTGTTGCTCAGAAGTGTCGCTCAGAAGTGTCAATTCAGTAATGTTGCTCAGAAATGTCGTTCAGAAGTTTTGATGAGCAGTGTGGCTCAGAAGTGCTGGTCAGAAGTATTGCTGAGATCTGTCGATGAGAAATTTGGATCAGAAGTGTTGCTCATCAGTGTCAATCAGAAGTGTGGTTGAGCAGTGTTGCTCAAACTGTCGATCAGAAGTGTCAATCAGAAGTGCAGATCAAAAGTGCTGCTCAAAAGTGTCGATTAGAAGTGTTGCTCAGAAAAGTCGATCAGAAAAAGTGTCGCTCAGAAGTGTTGCTCAGAAGTGTCGATCAGAAAAGGTGTGGTTCAGAAGTGTTGGTCAGGTGTCGCTCAAAAGTGTCAATGAGAAGTGTCAATCAGAAGTGTTGTTCAGAAAAGTCCATCAGAAAAAGTGTCGCTCAGAAGTGTTGCTCAGAAGTGTCGATCAGAAAAAGTGTGGTTCAGAAGTGTTGATCAGGTGTCGCTCAGAAGTGCCGCTCAGAAGTGTCAATCAGCAGTTGTGCTCAGACGTGTCGGTCAGAAGTCTAGTACGCGCTGGAAAATCGCAACTTTGTAGCGCCAGTCTACTGTGCGAAGTGCAGGTTTCCAGCTCTAGCTGGGAAATCACAACTGTGTAGCGCAAGTGTAGCGCGCGAAGTGCAGGTTTCTGGAAAATCACAACTCTGAAGCGCAAGTCTAGTGCATGAAGTACAGGTTTCCAGCTCCAGCTCGAAAATCGCAACTTTGTAGTACCAGTCTACAACGTGCGAAGTACAGCTGGAGAATCGCGACTTTGTAGTACAAGTCTAGTACGCGAAGCGCAGGTACGCGAAGTCCAGCTCTAGCTGAAAATCACAACCTTGTAGCACAAGCCTAGCGCACGAAGTACAGGTTTCCAGCTCTAGCTGGAAAATCGTAACTTTGACAAGTCTAGTACGCGAAGTACGGGTTTCCAGCTCCAGCTGGAAATCGCGACTTTGTTGTACAAGTGTAGTTCGCGATGTACAGGTTTCTAGCTCTAGCTGGAACATCGCGACTTTGTAGTACAAGTCTAGTACGTGAAGTACAGGGTTCTAGCTCTAGCTAGAAAATCGCGACTTTGTAGTACAAGTCCAGTACGCGAAGTACAGGTTTCCAGCTCCAGCTGTAAATTGCAACTTTGAAGTACAAGTCTAGTGCGCGAAGTGTACAGGTTTCCAGCACTAGCTGGAAAGTCACAACTGTAGTTTAAGTATAGTACGTGAAGTACAAGTTTCCAGCTCTGGCTGGAAGATCGCAACTTTGAAGTGCAAGTATAGTACGCGAAGTACAGGCTTTGAGCTGCAGCTCGAAAATCGCAACTTTGTAGTGCATCAGCTCTAGCTGGACAATCGCAGCTGTGTAGCGCAAGTCTAGTGCGCGAAGTACCAGCTCCGGCTGGAAAGTTGCAACTTTGTAGTACAAGCCTAGCGCGCGAAGCGCAGGTTTCCAGCTCCAGATTGAAAATCGTAGCTGTGTAGCAACAAGTGGAGCACGCAAAGTACAGTTTTACAAGCTGAAAAACATAGTTTGCGCAGTAGGCTTGATTGCGAGCCCCGTTGGCTTATACCGAAAAAATGTTGTTTCTAATTATTTTCTTGGGCTTGCGCAAAGCGATTTGCATTCGGGTTCGTGGGCTCTGTCTTGTTTTCTTCTCCTTTTTTTGGGCATTCACCTTTTGGGTTATTAGAGGGAGACCACCAATTTTCAGGGTTCCCCGATTTTAAGACAAGCCCCGCGGCCGCCTTGTCGCGGGCGACGGGGATTCCGCGCTTTGGCCGAGCCGCGCGCGCTGCCGAGGCTCCGGCCTTCTGGCCGTGGCTTTGCGACTTGACCGGAGAGTGGCTCCAGGCAACTGGACGTGGCCTTTTGATTTTTAAAGCAAGGATGATTTGTGTTTGAAAAGCCGGAGATCCTTTTTTTGTTTTCCGGGGGGGGGGGGCGGCGAAGGTGATCCATTTACCTTGCCGTTCAAACACCTGGACTGTGTAAAGTATGTGTTCAGATACACAAGGCGGCTCCTTGAGAGCTTGGTGACTCCGGGGCTCCGGAGTCAGACCTGCTCTGCCCGTCATGCAGCCATTGAGACCATGTTCCCTGAGAACGTCCGCGCCCGCATGAATGCTCTCGGCGCTCCCTTCCTCTACGCCTCGTTGAAACAACACGCTCACCGCTTCGGCGAGTTCGTGGAGGTCACTAACACGGTCAAGAGACCTCGCTAGTGTCTGCACCCTCTGCTTGCTGTCCGGAACGCGGCATTCACGCGTGCCAAGGGTGCCACTTTCGTCACGGTCCCTCCCTTGATCACCGCCGCCCGTCGGGCCCACACCTGCACCATACCCCCAGCCTCTTCCATCCCGTTCGGGACCCGCGGGCATCCCCCAGCAGATGGACATGCAAAAGGCAGACGTCGCTCTCTCGCAGACGGTCGGAAGACCTCGGCTGGCCCGAAGAGGAGGGGCGCTGACGGCCCAGCACAGGCACCTCAATCTTTCGCAGCTCAACAGCCACTCTGCAGGTTCCTTAGCTGGTCTCAACCTTCTCTCTGCGGACGAACAGCTCGCTTTCCTGGAGTCCTTTCTGAGAGCCTTGCTGATGGGCTTGCGCTGCTCTCCTGGTAGAGAGGCACAGAACAAGGCTGGACCCTTGATTTCGCTTGTCGGAGAGCAAACTGAGAACAGGCGCGGCAAAGCCTCCGCACCCTCACGCTTTGTTGTTGTCGTCGGCTCCTCCTTGTCTTGCCTCCGCGCTGTCGGCTGGGCTCTTCCGGATCCTTGGGGAAGGTTTTGTCGCTTTGTGCGTCTTCGGGCCCCAAAAAACGCGGTGGTTTGCTCTCCCCAGCCTTCGCTTTCTTTGGCTCTTCTCTGTCCAATTCGGCGCTGCCCTTTCGTTTCGGATGGCGCCCACGGATACTGTCATCTCGCTGTCCTTCGCGCCCTGCCTCGCGGCCTTGCCGCCCCTGTAGTGCTTCGCAGGCGTTTCTTTCCGGTGCCCGACCAGTGGCCCTGGTTGCCCTGTCGGGGTGTGTGGCCCTTCGTCGGCTCGTCTCGCTCTGTACGCGCTGTCTTGCGTCATCTCTCGTGGCCTTGCGGCCTGTGAACTGGGCGGTACTCGCCTTAGTGGTTCTGGTGGCCCTGACGAGTGGTTCTGGCTTTGGTTACACGGCCTTTTTTCTTTTTCTTCCCGCCGAAAAAGCAAGCTTGGGACGGTGTGACGCAGTTGCAACAAAACACCACAACGAACAAAACCAAATCAAGCGCGCCCTCCCAGTTCATTCTAGGCAAGGACTTGGCAACCTGCGCTCACTCAGCAGTTTTTCTAAACGGACGCACGAGTCGCAGCTTGACTTTCAAAAATCACTGACCTGAACGAGTCAAGTTTTGGAGGTGGCTTTTGAGTTCAATGGAGAACACATGTTAGCATATCATGAAACAGGCCGCACAAGCACAAGACTCGCTCTTGCTGGGAAGCGGCGTGAAGAAGACAGGAGCCACCAGGACCACCAGCTGAATTCGTCCTCAAATCAAACGGAAATCAAGCCCCGAACACTGCGCAGACAGAGTCTTGCCCGAGTCCTGCTCAACAGCTGGCGCGGCAAACGAAGACCAGCAGCCTTTACGCCCCACCGGACCACTGGTGGAACGCGGACCGGGTCGATGAAGACGCGCAGGGCCGAGTCCATATGAGTGAGTGTGGTGTATTTGCTCCACTTTGGGCACTTTCAAGCTTTGTTTAAATATCTGAATTCAACCCTCAACCCTATTTTATTCTGAGCTTTTGCTAGGATCGCCAGGTTGAAGCCCTCGTCTCTGTTGTTTTGTTTTTGTTTGGTCCTGTTGTTTTGTGTTCTCTTTTCCCCCTGTTTGGTGTTAATCTTCCTCAGCTCTTATTTTCCAGTCGTATCTCCACCTTTTAAACAGCGGACCTGTTTTTTCGATCTTTTCAACCCAATATGGTCATCGATTGAACATGTCCAGCATTTTGCCTGGCTACAACTTGATCGTTTTCTCATGTTCATGACCGTCGCTCGTGTTTGGCTCCAAAGCTGCCGCCCCTCAGTTCCAAAGTCGAGCGATCGAGGAGCGGCAAGTTGGGGCAGGAAACGCAAAAAAAAGACACATACATATGTCGGTGCTTTTCCCCTCAAGAGTTTGACATGGATAGGAGGTTCCACCAGAAGAAGGTGGCTCGACAAGCGAGTGTGCTGAGGTTTCAACTTTCAAAGGAACGGCTTAGGGATACCTAACATTTTTAGTGTTTTGGCTGCCTCACTTGAGTTTTGTGTCTTCAACTGGGGAAAAACAGATTTTCACAAATGTCACCTGGGGTCATTGGCCAAAAGTAGGGGCAAGGATTCTCCCAAGTGACCGCTTTCATTTTATTTCCATTTGAACAACGGCACAAGGCTTCAGCACAGACGATCAGTCCAGGAGGTCTGCCCTGCTTCTCTCAATCTCAGTCCAAATGGGGAGTCTAGCTGAGTTGGATTGTGAAGGGACCTGGCCAGTTGTCCATCAAACCCTTGGATGCTGAACCCAACTTTGGATTCCATCTTTTTTGCCGCGTTTGGCACTCTTTGAGGGTGGATCATCGACTCATCCCACACAACTCCAGTTCTTTCAGGATGAACGGACTCAGCTTCGCAGAGTTCGAAAGCGCTAGCTTTGATTCCCTGTACAGTGCAAGCCTCGGGGGTGGTTGGGGGGTCGACCGAGTGTTTTGGGAGGTCGGACCTTGCGGATGAATGGAGGGTGTTTCCTCCAAAGGGTTTAGTACTCATGTCCTGGGCCTCATTTTACACCTCCAACCTGAGCCGCCCATTTGGAAGGGACCCTAGTTTGGTCCGAATACACCCGTGATTGCATTGTTTGATCATTGTGATTGTTCATTCGGATCGCTTTTGGGACTTGATTTCCTTTGAAAAGGTAGGGGTTCCGGTGTACCCCAAGGCAACGGTTTCGTCGGCATTGTCCTTGAAGTACCCAGCATTTCGGAAGAACCCATGTTTCAAATGTTTTGGCTCATACCAGAATCGTTGGGCGAAGTGCTGGGGCCTCGGACGCTTTGAGCCAGGAAAGACAAGTGGAGTCGTGCAAAACATCCATTCATTGTTCCTTGCAGATTTCTGATGTCCAGAAATTTGGGTTGGAGATGGGGACAGGTTGGCAGAACCATGTGGGTCTGTCTCCAAACGAAACTCGGAACCACCCACAATCCTTAGAATAACCCAAACCGGATACCCTAAAGGAAACTAAATCCGTTGTCGGGCGTGCCCAATTTCTTGAGAAATTACCAAGTGTGTTTGGCTGGAGCCAGAAAGGAAGAACACATGGCACGATCATTGGAAAAAACAACACTTCCTCAGAGCCCCGAATCCAACTAGGATTTGGATGATTTCGGGGCAGTGTGAGCCACCGGAAGGGCAAGCTGACAAGAGAGGTTGAAGAAGTTTGGCAGTGAAAGTTGTTTGATTCAGGTCGAGGATTTGCGAACGCGCAGCACATGGACAAGGCGGAATGCCATCGAATGATCAGCGTTGCAGATGCTTCAGTTGGTTTCTGTTGTCTGTTTTCCGGAGGGCGCCTCCATGCACAAAAGTCCAACAGTCTGTTTGTAAAGATGAACGGGACACCAAAAAAGCAATGATTCCAAAAACCGGCTGACAGAAGATCGGGTTTCAGATTGCCTGTGACGCTCTAGGCTCTATTTTGATCAGGAGTCTTTACAGTGGGTCAGCACTTGTACACTGGTCACGGCCATCGAGTTTCTGCATGGTTTGCCACGGTTGGGAAGCCTTCGCCGTTCTCAGGAGAGCCTCAAGAGCTTAAAGCCAGGCGGGGAGACGGTCTGTTTATCGAAGCCACCCCCGTCCCCGTGATTTTGATTTGATTTGAGACGTACCCCATGATTTTGAGAGCCACAGTCAAATGAACCCGGTTAAGCTCTTGGACCTTCGCGTTTATTGAGTTTAGCGATTGTCTGCATTGGTGAAGGGTCGACACAAGGCTTTGATCGTAGTCACGCCTGTAACATGTGCATGTTTGCGGCTTTTTGAGGGATATGTGAGGGTACGCTGACTGACGACATGCTTGGTACCTGGCTGGTTATCACCGAGCTCCAATTTCTTACACTCCATATCCGCCCTGTGCCGGGGATCTTTGCAGCCAAAACGTCATGGTGCTGAGGACAGATACAGATTCCTGGCAGACGCAGCATCTCTGCCCTTTTCCAAACATAAGAATGCTGGTCTCTGGAGAATGTTTTGCTGCGCAAAGAACATAAATACTGTATTTGTTTGTTTCCTTCTGGTTCAAACGGGGGTCAGTATTTTGAGAGACCTCAACCTATTGATGGTCCTTCATGTAGATTAGCACGCCACCCTACCACCTCAGCTTATGGTCAACATGGTCAACAGACAATACCACCTACTGATGCTGGATTTGGGTTGTCCTATCCCCTCGGATCGTAAGTTTTCCGCCTCCCTAGGCAATCAATTTGAGCACTGCGTCAGTTTCCTGCTGCATGAATGTGAGGTTGTTCTTGCTGCTGACAGCAGGAAGGATTATGACAGCGTTTGTCCCAGGCATGCCCCAAGCATACGCGGCGTGCGTAGGCCCCCGCTGTATTTTTTCTTCTCTCTCTCTCTCTCTCCATCAGCTTGGCAGTTGTTTGCTTGTCAGGATTTAGCATTCCAGTCACTGCTTATGGCTACTGGTTGTTCATGGGCCTCTTCAATGTGCATGGCGCACTTGGTGCAGAGTGTGTTGATTGCCCCTTGATTGTTCCTTGAAGAATGCACACAAACCTGGCACTTCCCCTCATGCTCTGATGGTCTTCCATAATTATTTTTCTCTATTTGCTGCTCGTTTTGCCCCTTTTCGGCACAACAGGTTGCTAGCATAAACTAGAATTCAAAGTGCAGCTGATTGCAATTGCACCAAGCAAGCCACGTCACGCAAAATAGGAAACCAAGCCTCGGAAGCCAAATGTTGCCAGCAACGGACGCTTGCACAATAGCAAAGGCAGGGACGGTATGCCTCTGAGGCGAGATGCCGAGCATGGGCAGTGGTACAGTGCCAGGGCGTCGAGTCAAGAAACGGAGACGTTGAGTTCTGATCCTTCGCCTGGAAGTTAGCATGGAACCCAGAAGGATCCGATCCCAAAGAAGATTTTATTTGAACATCTCGTTTTGGGGTCCCAACAAAGTCAGTTTTTAGTGCTTTTTGGCATGGCGATGGGCAAAGAGGAGGTAGTTGTGCAAAGTGCGGGGGTTGTGTTTGGAATGATCCCAAGACCCCCTCTCGGAGATGGTCATCGGGCCGGTTCAACATGCACATGACCACATGTTGGATTTCCTTTCCCACCCAAGAGGGCTCCGATTCCAGGACGTTACGCGTTTCGTTTCCGTTTTGGCCGTTGCCCAAAGCTACTTGTCTGAGCCTTGGGTTTTGTTTGAATGTGCGGCTCGGAAACATAGGGGATCTCATTGGTTTTGTTGCGTGCCTTGAAATGGAGTCAGGCTTCGGGCGACAAGATAATGAGATCCAAATATTATAGAAATGGAAAGGGATTCGGCCGTCCGAGGCCCATGCAACCCACGAGCGGCACCGAGCGGCGAGCCCCTCGTGCCATGGCCCCGGACGCTGGACACACGCATGCACGCACCCCACCCCGACTCCCGCCCCCACCCCCACACGCCTACACACCCACACACCCACACACCCACACACCCACACACCCACACACCCACACACCCACACACCCACACACCCACACACCCACACACCCACACACCCACACACCCACACACCCACACCCACACACCCACACACCCACACACCCACACACCCACACACCCACACACCCACACACCCACACACCCACACACCCACACACCCACACCCACACACCCACACACCCACACACCCACACACCCACACACCCACACACCCACACACCCACACACCCACACACCCACACACCCACACACCCACACACCCACACACCCACACACCCACACACCCACACACCCACACACCCACACACAGCCACAGGCGCACGCACAAACGAAGCAACTCAACACAACACAACGTCACAAGACACGACACCAGCAGGGCAAGGCAGGGCAACACAGCGCAATGCAACACCATCACAACGCAATGCAACAACACCTCAGCACACAACGCAACGCAACGCAATACAACCCAGCGCAGCACAACGCAACGCAACACAACGAGACACAACACACACTTAAACTCCCAAGGGAGAAGCTAATCCTTCGAGTACAACTGGTGAGTCTCGAGTGGCGAGACCGATGGCTTCCCTCTAGAATCGAAAACGTTTCCAGGACAAACAAGAAGCACACACAGCGACAAAAGAAAGGGCCAAAAGGACTTTAAATCACTGATGCAGGTACGTCAACCTCGCGTCCGAGATTGATATCACAGGCAAGAGCAAAGGTCTTCGTTGGTGCCAGCCTTGCTCTGCCCCTGCCACCCCCTGCAGGAACTAGTAGCATGTCCACGACGAAAAGAGTGGTGTCAGGGTAATTCTGACACTCCGCACACACACGCCCCTCAATGAGGGGCGAGTGACTCTTTTTCCATGGAAGACGCAGCCCACACACACACACCAATCCTAATACCGACCAAAAGGTCCCGAGCAGCGCGGAGAACGTGAATTTTCACGTCCAACACTCAGAAGCTCAGGAGACGGGTCCGCGAGATCGCTGTGTTGTGACAAAGACGCTGATGATCCATGAGTGATGAGCGCCTGCATCATAGCGGGGAAGACCGAATGAGAGCGGGCGAGGTCACCAATCAGCGGTGGGGAGTGGCTGATGAGGTCGGGGAGTTGTCGACAGTGCGAGGAGTCTCCGCGTTGAGGTCTTCGACTTGTAGCTGAGATGCATGGTCAATCCCGGGCGTTGTCTCATTGATGGCAGCAAGGTGAGGGGGAAGAGCAAAGGATTCATTCCGAGAAAGAATCCGCTGATAGCCTTGACTCTGCCAGTCCTGGATTGCCCACGTGTTGTAGTTGTACCAGGCTGGACCGGTTCCCAGTCCCTGTAAGTGTGGCGAGGTAGCGTTGGGATGTCGTCGCCTCGGTGCCATAGGACTGCATCGCAAGGGTAGAAGATCTTGACTACTCTAACCACGGCGCAGGACCCTGGTTACCTCCGAGATCAAGTGCTTGATGTTCAACATCCATGAGGACGAAAGGTATGAGGCGCGAACAACTCCCAACTTCCAAAGTTGAATCAGCGAGCAAAAAACAAATCAAGCGCAATGGACATGACGCACACACAAGAAGATCACAAGCAATGCATTCGGACTTTTGTTCGACAATCTCCAGCTTGTTGTTAGGCCACGCCGTGATCAAAGATGGGCTGCCAGGTGGATCGAACATTGCTTGAGCGACTTCTTAGTTCATAGGGTGCTGATGCCGATGGTTGGGAAGTCAGATGAGTCAATGAGCTAGTTGCTGCAGGGTGTCGATGAGGAGCTTCTTGTTCGTTGTGCGTGCGGCTGGCGATCTGCAACTTAACAATGTCCTGGATGCACGTGAGGCCATCGAAGGAGAAGGTTGCCGCGTCGGACGACTGCATCATAGCTGCCAAGAGATGCGCGGTGATCTCAAAGGCTGTGGAACGGTTCCCCACGCTGCGTGGCGGATCAAGAGCTGGCAGTTCCGCATTGGTGTGATGACCTAAGGGCGGCTCAAGCTCAGGTTCAGGAGAAATGGAGGTTCCATCAGCAGGAAGCAGGCGGTCCAGGATGGAAGACTTTGACTCACTGTGCGTCAGGTTGTTGAGGATCCGGGCACCATTCAAGCCACGGCATGACTGGATGCTAAAAGGAAGAAAGGAGGTCCGGTGTAAACAGCTGCTCAATGTGCCCTTTCAAGAGAGGTTTCGCTGTCAATCAAGCGCAACAGACACAAGACATGTGTCAACGAGCGCGGCGTGAAATCGCAATCACAAATAGACGGCCATGCAAACTAGCCTGATTTCAATGCATTGATCGTCATCAAAGGAGGACTCAGCAGTTCCAGTCAAACTCAGAGTCAGGTAGCCCTGGTTGTGAAATTGCCGCAAAGGTAGGAGGGGACGGACTTCTCCACGCTCTGTCTGCTAGTGATGAGGCCGACGAAGAAGATGCTGAAGAGGATCCATGCGTCAGTGGCTTCACAGAAGGAAGTGTGTGTCTGACGTGCAATAGCCAACCATCCCCTCGTATTCCAGTTGCGGTAGCGCCATGTGGACCTGACGTAGGAGACGGGCTGGGAAAGTGTCCGCCCGTGCTGTCACGCATGAAGCGCACTTCGAATTCATAGAATTTTATCCACTCGCGATAGGTACTGGCCAGTGGTGTGAGCGACCACTGGATTCCAAGGTCCAGGCGTTTACACACGGATCCATTCTTGTTACCATCAACAAGTCCAGGAGAAATGTTGCATTCGATATGTTTGGGTGCAATCCATTGACCATTGCGTAGTCGAATTCCACATGGCGCCCGAGAAGTAAACACAACAAGAGAACCCAGTGGTACGAGATCTGGTGTGAATCAACGGGCAAACGTGGACAAGTGAAGCATGGTCAAAGCAACTACATGTCATTACCCGCAGAAGATCCGAACTGCCTGCTTTTCAACCAGGTGAGATCATTAGAGGCCAGCGGGCCTGCTCAGAAGGGTCAATGTCGTCGATGAGCCCAACATCTGCAGTGCAAGCAGCTTCTTGACGCACGCGTGGGGACAGGCGCATGTTACCATTCAGCAGTCCAGTGTGGCAATACTGTGCACAACTATGTTTTCTGAGCGAGATCTTCGGGACATAAAGAGTGTGAAAGGTCGTCGTGAGTGGGGCTGCTTCCGACAAGTGGTAGGGCTCCTCCAATGTCGAAAATTGCACGCGTTTGTGTTGGTTCGTGGTCGATGTGACGATGAGGAGCTTCTGGGTTCACGTAGACGAGGAGATGCCGAGCGTGTGCCTAGTTCTTCCGGATGTGGACTGCTCCGCAGCACTGACGGTCGAGGTAGATCGTGCGGAGGATGCATGAGCGGTGGTGGACGCAGTCCGCGCACTTGAGGAAGAAAAGCAGGATGTAGCCAAGCTGGAGGAGGCCGAGGAGGAGGTGGTGGTAAGGGTGGCTCAGATCTAGAAGCCTTGTCGTTCTTGCGTGTCCATGCGACGAAAGGTGTGGTGTAAGCCTCGCGTAGAGCGACGGCGGTAAAGGTCAGGCGGTAAGGGTCAGAAGAAAAGGTCTGTGCGTGAGGCAAATCAAATGCCCCGAAGTGTTCACTACACTGACCGCCGGTACACACTTGATGGGAGATACAGGAAGCACTTGAGGCACATCCCATTTTTTGTGCAAACGGAAAAGTAAGAAAGAAAGAAAGAAAAAAGAGAAAAGCAAAAAAGGGAGTTACGTCAGCTCACCCTCCCGATGCGTTCCCGTCCCATGCGGTGGCTACTCCTCAGAGCTGCAGGCTGACTCCAGCGGTTGACAAAAGAAAAGAAAGGCGACAGACCCCTTAGGAACAGGGGACAAACACACACACGCACGCACGCAAGCACGCACCCGCCCACCCACCCACACACACCCACACACACATTCACACACACACACACACCCACACACACCCACACACACCCACACACACACAGCCACACACACACACCACACACACACACCACACACGCACACCACACACACCACACACACCACAAACACGCACACCACACACACACACACCACACACACACCACACACACACACCACACACACACCACACACACACACCACACACACACACCACAGACTCACACCACACACACACCACACACACACTCACACACCCACACCCGCACACACACACACACCCACACACACCACACACACCCACACACGCGCTACGCACCCACACACACACACCGCGCACACACCGCACACCACGCAGTACACACCACACACCACACACCCCACACCGCACACCACGCACCACACACCACACACCACACACCACACACTGCGCACCACACACCACACACCACACGCCGCACACCACACACCATACAACACCACACCACACACCACACAGCGCTCAACACACACCGCACACCACACGCCACACACCACACACCACACAGCACGCGCCGCGCCACACACCACACACCACACACCGCACACCACATACCACACAACACACAACAGACGCCGCAAAACACAAAACGCACAACACAGAACGCACAACACACAACACGCAACACAGAACACGCAACACACAACACACAACACGCAACACAGTACACACGACGCACGACACACGATACACAACGCGCAACGCACAGCGCGCAACACGCAACACACAACAGACAACAGACAACACACAACCAACGCCGCACGCCACACGCCCCACGCCGCGTGCCACACGCCACACGCCAAACGCCACACGCCACACGCAACACGCAACACGCAACAAGCAACACGCACCACGCAACAAGCAACACGCAACACGCAGCACGCGCCGCGCAACACGCACCGCGCACCGCGCACCGCGCACCGCGCACCGCGCACCGCGCAACGCGCAACGCGCAATTTGCAAAACGCAACACGCAACACGCAACGCACGTAGCACGCAACACGCAACACTCAACACGCAACACGCAACACGCAAACACAACACGCAACACGCATCACGCGGCACACAACCCGCAACGCGCAACCCGCAACACGCAACACGCAACACGCAACGCGCAACCCGCAACACGCAACACGCAACACGCAACACACAACACACAACACACAACACACAACACACAACACACAACACACACAACACACAACACACACACACAACACACACAACACACACACAACGCACACAACACGCACAACACACACGACACACACACAACACACACAACACACAACACACACCCACCCACACACGCACACGCACACGCGCACGCACACGCGCACGCACACGCACACGCACACGCACACCTACACGCACACGTAACGCACACGCGCACGCACACGCTCACACACGCACACACACACACACGCATCGCAACACGCATCGCAACACACATTGCAACACGCAACGCAGCGCGACGGAACGGAACGCAACGCCTCGCAACGCGACGCAACACCACGATACAGCATAAGGCAAGAGACGGCATGCAACGCAACACAACACACAACACAGCAGACAACTCAACACAACAGGCACAATACAGCACGCAACGCAGCACAACACAACACATCACATCACATCACACTACATCACATCACATCACATTCCATCACCACAGACACAAAACGCAACACAACGAAACCCATGGACCCAACCCAAAACAACACAACACACAAGACACACAGTGAACAACGCAAAGCAACACAACACAGCGGAGCAAAGCGCTGCATGTCACGGCACAGCACGGCACACCACAGCACAACACGCAACGCATGGCGCACGTACGCCACACCGGAACACATTCAACACCGACGGCTCGCACTACATGCTGAGGTTGCAAACCGAGCTCCTGCCACGCTCTCAGAGAGCCCTCCTCCGCACTTGACGTCCCTGCATTACCAAATGCAGATAAGAAGCAAGAAGGTCGACAAGTATTCTTGTTGACGCAGTGCATGGCAGAAGCATTGCGAAAGCAAGTGCGCATGAGCACCAGAGGCGTGCTACTGGATTGTATTTGCAGCGCTTGCTCTCAAGCTGGTAGACGACGATAGGTGAACTGCGGCACAGCTTGCCCCTGTAACAAGCAATGTCGAACCCAAAAGTCTTCTTTGCGCGGGGCTCAGCCAGCACAGAATTGAGAGCTTGTAGCGGATTTGGTTATGTGAGAGGCATCCATAGGTTTGAGTGTTTGAGTGGCTCACGTTTTCTTGGGAAGACCTAGAACTGTTTGGATGGGTTGAGTGAGTAAACATGTTCATTTCCTTGGAGTGCTGAGTGTGCCAGCCTGCCCAGGACATGACAATCGGTGGCACGGCCGCAGGCCGCATCACCATGGAGCTGAAGGCAGACGTTGCTCCGAAGACCGCAGAGAACTTTCGTTGCCTTTGCACCGGCGAGAAGGGCACGGGCAAGTCGGGAAAACCACTGCACTTCAAGGGCAGCGCTTTCCACCGCGTGATCCCGGATTTCATGTGCCAGGGCGGAGATTTCACTGCCGGGAACGGCACCGGCGGCGAGTCCATCTACGGTAGCAAGTTCGCGGATGAGAACTTCACCCTGAAGCACACCGGCCCGGGAATTTTGTCTATGGCGAATGCTGGCCCCAACACCAACGGCTCGCAGTTCTTCTTGTGCACTGTGAAGACTGCTTGGCTGGATGGCAAGCACGTGGTGTTCGGCTCTGTGATTGATGGCATGGATGTCGTGAAGAAGATTGAGGCAGTGGGGAGCCAGTCTGGCAAGACTGCCAAGCCTGTGATGGTTGCTGACTGCGGCCAGCTGGAGTAGATAGACAACCGCAGAACGCCATGTGTTTACGGCGCTGGTGTCTTTTGATTGACTTGTGGTTGGCTCACAATCTTGGACCACGTGTCGAGCTACCAGCGGGCAGCTCTTGGAATACAGGGCTGCGCTGCTTTTGCAAGTAGGTAAGCTAGGGGGCGCAAGCCTGCAAGCAAGCGTCTGACCGTTCAGCCATATGAGCAAATTCAGAAAAGAAGCAAGAAGGTTGACAGGCATTTTTGTTGACGCAGTGCATGGCAGAAGCATTGCGAAAGCAAGTGCGCATGAGCACCAGAGGCGTGCTACTGGATTGTATTTGCAGCGCTTGCTCTCAAGCTGGTAGACGATAGGTGAACTGCGGCACAGCTTGCCCCTGTAACAAGCAATGTCGAACCCAAAAGTCTTCTTTGCGCGGGGCTCAGCCAGCACAGAATTGAGAGCTTGTAGCGGATTTGGTTATGTGAGAGGCATCCATAGGTTTGAGTGTTTGAGTGGCTCACGTTTTCTTGGGAAGACCTAGAACTGTTTGGATGGGTTGAGTGAGTAAACATGTTCATTTCCTTGGAGTGCTGAGCGTGCCAGCCTGCCCAGGACATGACAATCGGTGGCACGGCCGCAGGCCGCATCACCATGGAGCTGAAGGCAGACGTTGCTCCGAAGACCGCAGAGAACTTTCGTTGCCTTTGCACCGGCGAGAAGGGCACGGGCAAGTCGGGAAAACCACTGCACTTCAAGGGCAGCGCTTTCCACCGCGTGATCCCGGATTTCATGTGCCAGGGCGGAGATTTCACTGCCGGGAACGGCACCGGCGGCGAGTCCATCTACGGTAGCAAGTTCGCGGATGAGAACTTCACCCTGAAGCACACCGGCCCGGGAATTTTGTCTATGGCGAATGCTGGCCCCAACACCAACGGCTCGCAGTTCTTCTTGTGCACTGTGAAGACTGCTTGGCTGGATGGCAAGCACGTGGTGTTCGGCTCTGTGATTGATGGCATGGATGTCGTGAAGAAGATTGAGGCAGTGGGGAGCCAGTCTGGCAAGACTGCCAAGCCTGTGATGGTTGCTGACTGCGGCCAGCTGGAGTAGATAGACAACGGCAGAACGCCATGTGTCTACGGCGCTGGTGTCTTTTGATTGACTTGTGGTTGGCTCACAATCTTGGACCACGTGTCGAGCTACCAGCGGGCAGCTTGGAATACAGGGCTGCGCTGCTTGTGCAAGTTCGTTCAGCCATATGAGCAAATACAGAAAAGAAGCAAGAAGGTTGACAGGCATTTTTGTTGACGCAGTGCATGGCAGAAGCATCGCGAAAGCAAGTGCGCATGAGCACCAGATGCGTGCAACAGATGCGTGCAAGATCATACTGGATTGTATTTGCAGCGCTTGCTCTCAAGCTGGTAGACGATAGGTGAACTGCGGCACACAGCTTGCCCCTGTAACAAGCAATGTCGAACCCAAAAGTCTTCTTTGCGCGGGGCTCAGCCAGCACAGATTTGAGAGCTTGTAGCGGATTTGATTATGTGAGCGGCATCCATAGGTTTGAGTGTTTGAGTGGCTCACGTTTTCTTGGGAAGACCTAGAACTGTTTGGATGGGTTGAGTGAGTAAACATGTTCATTTCCTTGGAGTTCTGAGTGTGGCAGCCTGCCCAGGACATGACAATCGGTGGCACGGCCGCAGGCCGCATCACCATGGAGCTGAAGGCAGACGTTGCTCCGAAGACCGCAGAGAACTTTCGTTGCCTTTGCACCGGCGAGAAGGGCACGGGCAAGTCGGGAAAACCACTGCACTTCAAGGGCAGCGCTTTCCACCGCGTGATCCCGGATTTCATGTGCCAGGGCGGAGATTTCACTGCCGGGAACGGCACCGGCGGCGAGTCCATCTACGGTAGCAAGTTCGCGGATGAGAACTTCACCCTGAAGCACACCGGCCCGGGAATTTTGTCTATGGCGAATGCTGGCCCCAACACCAACGGCTCGCAGTTCTTCTTGTGCACTGTGAAGACTGCTTGGCTGGATGGCAAGCACGTGGTGTTCGGCTCTGTGATTGATGGCATGGATGTCGTGAAGAAGATTGAGGCAGTGGGGAGCCAGTCTGGCAAGACTGCCAAGCCTGTGATGGTTGCTGACTGCGGCCAGCTGGAGTAGATAGACAACCGCAGAACGCCATGTGTTTACGGCGCTGGTGTCTTTTGATTGACTTGTGGTTGGCTCACAATCTTGGACCACGTGTCGAGCTACCAGCGGGCAGCTCTTGGAATACAGGGCTGCGCTGCTTTTGCAAGTTCGTTCAGCCATATGAGCAAATACAAAAAAGAAGCAAGAAGGTTGACAGGCATTCTTGTTGACGCAGTGCATGGCAGAAGCATCGCGAAAGCAAGTGCGCATGAGCACCAGATGCGTGCAACAGATGCGTGCAAGATCATACTGGATTGTATTTGCAGCGCTTGCTCTCAAGCTGGTAGACGATAGGTGAACTGCGGCACACAGCTTGCCCCTGTAACAAGCAATGTCGAACCCAAAAGTCTTCTTTGCGCGGGGCTCAGCCAGCACAGATTTAAGAGCTTGTAGCGGATTGGGATATGTCAGAGGCATGCATAGGTTTGAGTGTTTGAGTGGCTCACGTTTTCTTGGGAAGACCTAGAACTGTTTGGATGGGTTGAGTGAGTAAACATGTTCATTTCCTTGGAGTGCTGAGTGTGCCAGCCTGCCCAGGACATGACAATCGGTGGCACGGCCGCAGGCCGCATCACCATGGAGCTGAAGGCAGACGTTGCTCCGAAGACCGCAGAG